AATTAGAAAATATTTTGGTAGAAAATATGGTTTGTTCTTGGGAATTTGAGTGAGTATTTTTTTGTAACTCATTTGTAATATTTTGTAACTCCTCTTGGAAGTATAGTGAATCAAAAAGTTGTCCTCTCTTCCATAGTAGATTGTTCGATCGAATTGAGTAAACAAATTATTGTATTTCATGTCTTTTATATTCTTCTGGCAAGTTAATTTATTGTGTTATTGCTTAGAGAATTATTTTAGCTCAATGTTATATATTTTAGTTTTCATTATTCTTTGTTCTCATACATCAAATTTTTTGGTGTGATTGAACCTTTCAATTTTACAAGTGGCGCATACCGTGGAACAACAGAGTTTTGTTTACAAGTGTACACTTCTAAATGGTATATTGAGAAGTTTTTCGGGGACAAAAATTTTGTGTTTTGGAAAGTGAAAATGCAAGCAATTTTAACTACAAAGAAGTGTATTGAAACAACAACTTTAATCATTCTAAATTATAATAATTTATAGTGAAATTGATGACAAAATTTCACAAAATTATTTATGATTTGAACAATACTCAGGTGAAGATTGATGATTAAGACAAGACTTTACTCTTGTTGATCTCATTACTTAAATCCTTTGAGAACTTTAAGGATGAGCCTCTATTGTTTCATGGTTTTGAAAATTAGTCACAGAAGAAATTACCGGGTTGAGTCATGGACTAGGTCGCTCTCTTTAAGACTTTTTGCGGCATTGTCCAAAATTATGCAAAGCAGTCGAACTATCGCACCGCCTCCAAGATAAAATAGCTCAGTTCTATATTGTACAATTACTACTTGCATAGTAGATAATCGGTCTAGAAATACACCTTCTGATGATATAAAAATCATTTGAATATGGTATAAATACCACTCATAGTATTTGGTATAACGACCAGTCGTAATAATTTCTCAAACCAAGAGAAATTCTAATAATTCTCCAAAGAGAATTCAATAATGGTCATTTGACCACTAAAAATGATTTCTCAAACAAAGAGAAGTTATAATTCTCCAAAGAGAATCCAAAAATTAATACTTGTAATTTTTCAACTCAAACGAAAATAAATTAACATAATTCTCTAAAGAAAATTCAAAAAAATATTCGGAAAAATCAATTAGTAGAAAGAAAGGGGGAGAAGTTGGCGCTTCGACAATTCAAAAGACGCAGAGTTATGAAAGTGAGAGAGGAAAAACTCAATATTTTTTGTGTGTTTTGGAATAAAATAGAGTTTTTCCTTATATAATAAAGTGAGCAAGGAAATATATCTCACTTAAGCAATGTAGGACTACAAAGTTTTTTTAACTAACACACAATGTGGGACTTGACTTAAGGAACTTTTTCAAATTCATCTCAGTATATTAGAATATTGACATAGTATTCCAATAATCCCCCACTTGAATTTAAAAAAGTCTTTAGCAACTCTTACTCGTTCACTTCATCGAAGTTATTAAATAAGACAAGGTTGGTTGTCTTTTCTTTAACATCTCATAAGGAGAGATCTTACTTTTTGACTTGGGAACTCGATTCAGGACCGTCAACAAATTTCCCCTCACCAGTGAGATACAGCACTAGAATTCAACCTAATAGCAATAACTAGTTCGGTAAGAGTTATATTCTTTCTATCTACTTTACCATTTATTTTAGGAGAATATGGTACAATTGTTTCATGTACAATTCAATGTTTATGAAATTCATTAAGTAAACTGAAATAATATTCAATTCCCTTATCACTATAAAGTCTCTTAATATTGTTATTAAATTGAATTTCAATTTCATTCACAAATGTATCAAACATAACAATTACACAAAAATATCATTCTTAGTGGTTGTGTACAAATCTACCCCAACAGACTGACTAAACTCTGACTTTTTCAGAAGAAATCCAGAAACAATATTATTTATAATCTCTGAAGTATACATGACATCCTTCAAGATTAAATTCTTTTCAGAGGTGGACACTATTCCACTTCTCCAATATCGACAACATTAAAGATGTAACTCTCAACAACACTTTCTTATTTGTGTATGTTTTGAACATTGCATGATCATAACAAATATGACGAGAATAGCCAATGTCTATCCATCAACCATAAGATTCACCAATCATGTTGATTTTAGTGATCAAAACAATAAATTGCTCATCAATCGGGTTAACCTATGCATTATGGGAATTACAAGGTTTTAACTTGATCTTTCATTTCTTAATCATATGACCTAGTTTTCGACAATTGAAGCAAGAGAAAACACTAGTGTCATTTCTTTATGATAGTGATTGTTTCCTATTAATTGGAGTAATTAGGGCATTTGAAGGGTTCTCATTCTTAATTCAGTTTACAACATTACAGTTATGATTCTTTAATCATTTGCCAAATGACTTCAGAACTACAAAAAAAATCTTTTTGTTGTTTGAAACAATTAAGACTTTTTTTATCTTGTATCTGAGATTCTTCTTCAACTCGAAGAAGAATAATCAGACTCTCAATTGAAAATTCTTTTGTTTTGTGGTGAAGCATAATTTTTAATAACTTTCAAACTAAGGGAAATTTGTCAATAATAAAAGCAATTTGAAATTGTTCATCTAAACACATACCTTTTGTGATGATCTTATAATCAATTTTCTGAAGTTCGTAACAATGATCCTCCACAGACCTTTCATCTACCATATGATACTCTAAGTAGCAGCTTACAACATACTTCTTTGTTCTAGTTTCCTCGGTGTCACACTTTTATTGCAGAGCTTCCCGTACTTGTTTAGCAGCTTTGCAGTTGATGTATTAATCATACAGATCATTAACAAGACTGTTCAGAATGTAATTTTTGCAGATATAGTCATTCTCATTCCATATGGCGATTTCTTTCTTGAGTTGTAAATCACTCGCAACAGATTCATCAGTTTTAGCATTTCCATCTGAATCCACAGAGTTCTTACCATTAGTTTGTTCGGTTGATCCAGAAGGAGCAATAGGAATATCCTCAGTCAGAATGTTGGCAACCTTCTTTAAGGTTTAAAAAAATTCATTTTAGCCTGCCAATGTTTGAAGTGACGACCCTCAAACTTGAATGGTTTGTTAGAGACAACGGCCGCAGTATTACCAATAATTTCTTTGATAACCATGGTAGTTTTTTAAACATCTTAAAACTATTGTTTCATTATTTTTAAAATTAGCCACAGAAGAAATTACCGTGTCGAGTCACGGACTAGGTCGCTCTCTTTAAGACGTTTTGCGACACTGCCCAAAATCATGCAAAGTAGTCGAACTACCACGCTGCCTCCAGGATAAAACAACTCAGTTCTATATTATACGATTACTACTTGCATGGTAGATAATCGATCTAGAAATACACCCTCTAATGGTACAAAAACCATTCGAATATGGTATAAATATCACTCGTAGTATCTGGTATATTGACCAATCGTAATAATTTCTCAAACCAAAAGAAATTTCAATTATTCTCCAAAGAGAATTCAATAATGGTCATTTGACCACTAAAAATAATTTCTCAAATAAAGAGAAGTTCAAATAGTTCCCCAAAGAGAATCCAAAAATTAATACTTGTAATTTCTCAACTCAAACGAGGAGAAATTAACATAGTTCTCTAAAGAAAATACTCGAAAAAATCAACGAGTAAAAAGAAAGGGGGGGAAGTTGGCGCTTCGACAATTTGAAAGACGCAGAGTTATGAGAGTGAGGAAGGAAAAACTCAAAATAAGTTTTTGGTATGTTTCGAAATGAAATAGAGATTTTCCTTATATAATGAAGTGAGGAAGAAAATATATTTGACCCAGGCAATGTGGGACTAAAAAGTTTTTTCAACTAACACAGAACGTGGGACTTGACTTAAGAAATATTTTCAAATTCATCTTCCTATATTAGAATATTGACATAATGTTTCAACAACCTCTTTATGGTAAGGAAAATACTATTGCTTGGGATGAAGTCTAGGAGGCTATGAGATCTAAGAAATACATTCAAAGGTGAAATATTTAAAGGTTAAAATGTTTTAATTGTTAGGAACCCAGTCCCTTCAAGAGGAATTATTCTGAGATGGAGGATAATGAATATTATGTTCACATTGTTACTGCCTAAAATGAGGATAGTTATGAGAGTGATAATGTACTAGTGGTGTCTATTTTGAAGACTAAAGAAGGTTATGTCATATACTCAAGTTTATCTTATCTCATTTGTTCAAGAAAATAATATTTTGATACTTTGAAACTAGAGGAAGGTGGAATAGTTCACCTTGGTGAAAATAAGTTTTACAAGGTTCATGGTATTGGTACGGTCAAAGTTGAAGTATCTGATAATCGTGAGTTTCTTTTTCACAATCTAACGTATGTTCCACAACTCAGGAGAAATCTGTTATCCATAAGCATGTTGAACTAGAGTTATACATTGGGTATTGAATATTTCACATGGTGAAGTGATAATAACCAATTGGTCTAAAATATGTGTTCTAAATTTTTTTAAATATTCCAATGTTGTTGTTCATTCATCATCAACTAGTTAATACTTTCATGACAAGAACAAGTTGTGGGATTTAAGGCCAATGCATGTTGGATGCCTAGAGATTACTTATATCACTTCAATTAGTTTTGCATAATGCAGAGGATAAAAATGTATTTGACCGTTGAGTTATCATCGAGTTTTTGGGGTAAGGCTGGTGTCAAAATAACTTACATGATCAGTAGATATTCATTTACAAGAATAAACTTCCAAACACTTATGAAGTTTAGGAGTAGGAATATGCTAACCAAAGTTATTTTGATGTTCATTAAAACTTTTCTTATTGATCAAATTTAGCCAATTCAGTTTAATGGTACAATTCTGGATTGTGTCTTCAATGGATTTCCAAGAGGTAGAAGAGGGTGTGAGATATTGGGAGTGGAACCTAGAGAATCGAAGTTTATTATTCACAATCATATTATGTTAGCATATGAGTTTCTTAAAGGCTATGATAGGAAAGGTGGTACTCCTAGAGTTATGATCCAATTAGACCTCCAAAATGCATACGATGTGGTAAATTGGAATGGCTTAGAGTGTGTGTTGAAGGAAATTTATGTCCCAAATCAGTTTACCAACTGGATTATGGCAGGAATTACAACAGTGTCTTATAAGTTCAACATCAATTGGGAGCTTTCTAATTTTTTGCAGGATAAGAGAGGGATCACGCAAGGTGATCCCATATCACCTTTACTCTTTGTCATAGTAATGAAGTATATGCACAGATCCCTGCTCAAGGTGCAAAGAAATGCAAACTTCAACTATCATGCAAAGTGTGAAAGTTTGAGCCTTACAAACCTCACATTTGTTGATGATGTGTTCTCTTGTTCTGCAGAGGTGATGCTATTTCAGTAGACATGACGGTAGGGACATTCAAGAGATTCTCAGACTCTACAGGGCTTGTTGTTAACCCAAGCAAATGTAAAATATTCTTTGCTGGTATTGATGGTAACAACAAAGCGATTTTGTAGAGCTTGACAGGTTTTCAAGAGGGGAAACTCCCAATCAAGTACTTAGGAGTTCCTTTTTCCAGTGAGAAGCTGAACATAAGTCACTACTTGCCCTTGGTTGATAAAATTGTGAGTCATGTGCACCACTGATCTACCAAGCTTTTAAGCTATGCACGAAGAATCCAATTGGTGCAAAGTATATCATGTGCTATTGCACAGTACTAGATGCAGTGCTTCCCAATTACTCATTTTGTGATCAAAAAAATCGATTCAATTTGCAGGAGCTTCATTTGGACAGGGAGAAAGGATTTGAGTAGGAAGAGTCTTGTTGCCTGGAAGACAGTCTGCAGGCACAAAGCTCAGGGTGGTTTACACTCTTAATCTCTCAATTTGGAACAATGTGTTGATACTGAAATGTTTATGGAACCTCTGTAGGAAAGCTGATAATTTGTGGATCAAATGGGTCCACAATTATTATTTCAGAAGTGTTTATGTTTTGAAGTTTGAAACAAAAACCCATAACTCTTGGATCATGAAGGGTATTATGAGTCAGCAGAAAAACTTAGGCCAAATCTAGCAGTACTGGGATTTTGCAGTTGGCCACCAGAAGTTCAAGCTAATGTTGTCTATGTTGCGATTATTTATGATGGCCATAGGTTCAATTGGAAGAAGCTTATCAAATATAACAAGGTTAGACCAAGAGCAATTATGTGCCTTTGGCTTGCCTGTCATGGGAAGCTTGCTACAAAAGATAGATTGAAGAGATTTGGCATGATTCAAGAGAGCCATTGTGGAATGTGCAACAAGGACGAAGAGACAATAAATCGCTTGTTTTTCTGTTGTAGCAAAACCAGTCCCAATTAGAGTGGAGTTCTCAAGTGGATGAAGGTGAACCATGACCCCAAAAATTGGGATGATGGGCTAATGTGGATCTCTAGGGCAGTCAATGATAAAGGATGCAGAGCAACTCTAATGAGGATGGTTGCTGCAGAAATGATATATTGCATATGGAATTATATAAATGATATTGTATTTGGAAATAGTGTAGATAACACAAGTATAATAACAAAAATTATAGATAGTGTAGTGTATAGGAGTTGGCAAAATAGAAAGCTTAGAAGCCATCTAGTTAAGTTTATGATGTAGCTTGTCTTTGTTGGATGGTTGGATCCTTGATGGGTCACCTTTGGTTTTAATTGTTTTTTTTTAATTTAAAATATTTTTTCTTGATTCAAGAAAAAAGAATGATGTCACTATTCATGTTTGTAGTTATTGGACAAAATAAAAACCATTTCTTATTACACTTTTCTTAGACATCGCGTAAAATTTTAAAAATATTTTTAATTTTCGAAAATATATTTTTGGACGCACCTTAATACACAAATTTCATTCGCTTTTGAATCAAACTCAAATTTTCTGAACGAATTTTTCAAAAATATAATTTCGAAAAAATTTAATGTTAACTTTTTCCATGCACTTGCATCACCATATATTAACTAAATAATATTTTATTGATTAATTACTTAATATGATTTAATATGAAATAATAGTTATACAATTATATTGATTAAAAAAATACTGAATAAAATTGAATACAATAACTTAATAAATAATTTTATATTATAAAATTGAATACAATAACTTATAAATTGATGAAGATGGTACTAGCTGAAACTATTTACAAGATTTGGACCGTTCGAAACACAATAATGTTCAAGAAATACAGTAAAGAGAGCCGTAAAGATATTGTTGACGTGGTGTTAGTGGGGGTTGAAACTGACAAGAAACTTGCAAGATTTTGTAATAAAAAATAAGTTGTTTTTGTGGTTTTCTTGTCTCTGTTTGGTTGATTTTTCGCTTGAGGCCTAGTTCCTCGGTTCGGCATAGTTATATTGATTTTTGATAATAAAATTATTCTTTATTTATAAAAAAATTAATAAAGTATTATTTTGGTAATATAGGGTGATGCAAATGCATGTAAAAAGTTAATATTAAATGTTTTTAAAAATATATTTTTGAAAAGTTTTCAAAGGTATATTTATAAAATGAATTTATTTATTAAATTTTAATTTAACTCAAAAACAAATAAAATATCTGTATTAAAATATATTAAAATATATTTTTGAAAATTGAGAATATTTTAAAATTTTTGCATAGTAGCTAAATAGGATGAAATAAAAAAATGGTCAAAATAAGTCTATTGTAATATTCTTTTGTTAACACGTTTCTTATTTATAATGCTAATGATACATTCTCGATCAAATCATGTAGAATTCATTTAAAAGTTAATTTTTTAAGAAGAAAAATTGATATTTTTGTAAACATTCTACTACCAAAATTAAATACAAAGTTAACTTTTTTCAGAAGAAAAAGACCTACTAGTTTTCATGTAACTAGTTTCTTTTTTTTTTTTTTAAAGTTGAGCATAGGCTAAATACATTGAAAAAGTGTGAAACCCAAGACTCCATTAATAAATGGGCCTTAGACTTGCCACCATAATTGAGGGGTTGGCTATTTTGAGGCATTTAATCTTCACACACCCACAAAATTAAAATATATTTTTTACTTTTGAAATTAATCTTAACCTTTTCTTTTTTTTTCTTTTTTCTTTATTATTACCATACCTTCTATTTTTATAATGCTCAAATTTAAATTTTTCATAAGATTTTAAAATACAAGTGTTGAGTTTTACTGAAATATATACTTTTTATTCTATATAACTTAAATTACAGTTTTCTAAAATATCTAATTAAACGTGAAAAAAATATTGATATAAATTTTAGGAAATGTAAGGTGAGAAGATTAATTGTATATATAAAGTAGGAATAATCAAGAAGCATGTGGAGGAGAGTACTTTCCCTTTTTCCGTGTTCTGCCATCTAAAATATTCTTATTCTATATTCTTCCTTAAAAATATATTTCTTCCTTTAAAAAATATTCATCCACAATTTTTAATTTTTTCTGTGTAAAATCTCGAGGTTATCAAGAAGATTTAAAGTAATTTTGAAAATTGAATTGTTGGAATTAGTTTAAGACTTTGAGTAAATTCTGAACAAATTTTGATGAATAAAATTTAATCAACTGATTGAAATTTTTTATTCTTTACTCTTCACTTGAGTGAACCAATTACACATTGATTGTAAAAATGATTTGGCGCAACAATTGTTAATGGAAGAAGAAAAAATATTTGAATAAAAAAAGATTAGGGTTTGACAAAAAATTGAAAAAGAAAAAGATGATTTCTGCAGAGTTTCTCTTTACCCGTAACTTGTGGAAAATTTGTTAATTTTGCAACTGCAATTGATTACAAGATTATTCTTCTCTTTATGAAAAATAGGGGTTACTCCCTCTATTTATAATTGAGCTAACTTGCTCCCTAAGTCAAAACCCAAAAACATAAAAGCCTGAAATTTCTATTTTGCTCTAAGTTGAAATCTTGTGTCAAGCAACCTGTTTCGACATCTAATGTTACTCGACACATCCTTATTTCTTGTATTCAGATCTCCGATGTCTTTAAAATTTAGATGACCAAGTCTGTAGTGACATATTCATTCATCTCTGCTAGCTTCAGTTGCAAGGAACTTTTGCTCCATCACATTTAGTTCAATGTTGAAGGTTCCATTCTAAGACATTGATGCCTTCAAGATTAACCTACCACCTAAGTCGAGAACATTTACCATCTTGTCTTCGATCGATACCTTGTAGTTCTTTTCGTCCAACTGTCATATACTGAGCAAATTGTTCTTCGTGCCTGGTATGTACAACACATTGGAAATTATTGACCTTTTACTATCTTCCCTCATAATCAGACCATCATCAATACCTTCAGCTGCTAGAGTATTGTCATTTGCAAATTTCATCATGTTCTTCATTGAGGGATTTATGTTGACAAACCAATCTTTCCTTCCAAACATGTGTGATGAACATCCTAAGTCCAAGTACCACTGGTCCTTGAATATCTCTTCATATCTCGTTGTAACCATCAACAACATCTCTTCTTCTTCTTCTTCATGTTTTTCCAGCTAGACATCAGTTTCTTGATTCTCCATCTTTTCAGGACAATCATTAGAATAATGATCATACTTTTGACAATTGTAACACTAAATGTGACTTTTGTCAGGATTTCGACCACCACCTCTTCCTCTACCTGCAATACCAACTCTTTGGTTGCTTTGATTTCAGAGTTTTCTCTAATTCAACCAGTTTCCTTCTTGCTGATTCCGGTCAGTCGAATTGTTGTAGTCTCCTTTGTCTTTGTTATCATTCCAACTTCATTTGCCTTTATTTTCTTTTACTGATTTCTCCTGCAAAGTCATATCATTCTTCGACTTTCATGTAGCTTTTTCAACCATTTTTTGTTCATGAGATTCAAGCGTCCCTTGAAGCTCTTCCTTTTTCAATGTTGGCAAGTCGTTCGACTCTTCTATGGCTACTACCACGTGGTAGAATTTTGGAGCCAATGACCTCATGATCTTTGCATCAACTGATCTTGATGTCAACACTTCTCTGTATACTTTGATTTGTTTCACCAATTTAGTAACCTTAGTGAAGAAATTAGTTATTCTTTCATTGTCCTCCACCTAAAGCAATTCATAGGTTCTTTTGTGAGTTTGTAACCTTACCTCTTTCACCTTCTATGTGCCTCCAAACGATTTCTCCAGAATTTTCCATGCTTTTTTCGCTGATTCTACATCACTAACCTTTTCAAAATCACCTGGATCTACACATTGATGAATTATAACAAGAGTTTTATAATCTTTCTTCTTCAATTCTTTGTATGTAACCTTTTCTTGATCCTTCACGTTTCCTGCAAACGGTGTTACTCCTTCCTTCACAAGATCCCAAAGATCTTGATAACAAAAAACCACTTTCATCTGCTTGCACCAATTCTCATAATTATTGTTCTTGAGAATTAGAATACTCGTTGAAAAATGCCCGTTTGGATGAATCATCGCAATAACGTTTTGCTTCCCTTGTTACAAGCCTCACACCAAGACTTCTCTTAAAAGAATTCTTAATACTCGCTCAATAAAGCACATCACTTTTTTGTTTACACAACAACACACCAAATACTATGGTAGACTCTGAATCATCCTGATTCAAATGATCTTTTCAATAACCACCAAATATTATGATGATCCTTACCAAACATTATAGTTAATTAAGAATCACACTAACTCTTTAAGAAACGAAGAACTTTATGTAAGTTGCAGAATCTTCAAATCCAAACTAAGATTAAAAACTTTTTATCAATATCAATTTTCAAAATAATATCACTTAATATTCAAAATTTTATGGTTTTCCAAAAGATTAATCAAAGTTTCAAAACTTTGAAATGTGAAAACTACTTGAAAATGATATTTTAATTTTATAAATTTTTCTGGAAGCTTTTAATCAGTTTTAGAAATGTGAACCAGTATTTAGATGTTCATAGAAGATACCATAAAAAAATATACCACTTTGGAAAGTTATCGTGAACCATTACAATGCTTAAACATGGCACTGTTCATGAAAAAATGTGTCCCAACTGAATGTAGTCGATTACATGTTGTTTATGTTTGAAAATATTGAAATTTGCTGACATGTAATTGATTACACACGTGTGTAATCGATTACCACCATGAAATTTTGTCAAAAAACATTTTGTAAATCATATAATCAATTACATCTATCTAATCAATTACCATTGTGTTTACTCTTGAAAAACATAATTTTAGAGCCTATTTAAGTGGTTTCTACCTTTTTAACTTGAGAAACATTTTACCTTTAAATTATATGATATTTTATGAGACTTTAAGTGATATAAGAACTAAAAGGTGATTTATCAAAGATAAATACATTTTCTTAAAGTTGACTTAAATGATATTTGTCATTTCATTGTTTTCATATTTTCTTTTTTGTTGATGTTATTGTCTTCATCAAAAACTAGTCAAGTTTATAAGAGAGATCGTCTTCACAATCTCCCCCTTTTTGATGATGACAAACTATATCGATTGGAAGTTTTTGTTCGATATATGATACTCCCATATCTTGTATATCTCCCCCTTTGTTTTTTAACTTAACCTATGATATCCTAAAATAAGATGAACAAAAATAAACCATACAATTTCTCCCCCATTTGACATTAACAAAAAGAAGAAAAAGAATAAAATGCAAAGAAAAGTAATATAGGGAAAGATACATGATGATAACTAAAGTGTTAAATGAAGTGAAACACTAGCATACATTATGACTTTTACTATTTTTCACAATGATAATTTAAAGTTTCAATCTTTTCAAGTCATTTTCAAAAAAGAAATTTTAAACTTATACTGATATCATGTGATTTCCTTGTGCCTTGAAAAACCAATAAACATTTGGTTTCCAAGCACACCTACAAAATAAAATAAATAGCTCTTTCTAGGTACCCAATAGTATTTGGATCCTTTTTGGGTTAGTTTATTTCTCACCCTACACATATTTACCACTATGTACACCAAATTTTCTAATGTAGCATATTTTAGGGGTATGACCTATGATATTGCAATAAACGCAAGTATGTGTCATGTTAGACATTTTATTTTTATGATTATAAAAATAATTTTTTTATATATCTTTCTAGGTTGTACATTGATGTGCTGTAAGTATACGACAATACCGAAGTAGTATAAAAGATTTATCACTCCCCTGAAGACCAGCGTTTTTAAGTATTGAACTTTATCACTTCTATGTTTAGCTAAATCAATTATTTGAACTTGGTTTGAGAATGAATTTTTTGTTTGAAAATATAATGATTAAAACAAGTACGAGTTTAGTATCTCTGATTCATGTTTTTGGACCTCTTGTAGATTTCGGTTCAATACTAGAATGACACTAATTTCATAGAGAAACGGAAAGGTGGGTAACACTTATTTTCGTCGACGTGTTGTTCTATTTTGATCAAATATGCTACCCACTTTAATTGTTTTAGAATATTCATTCATAATCTATTTCCCAGAGTGGCCATCAAAAAGAAAAACTTTCCCTGTCGAGTTTTGAGGCACTTTCGTCTCCTAAACTTGACAATTTGGTGTTTCTAGTTCAGGTGTCATAGTACATCCTTTCAGCATATAGGTGACATTTAAATTATCTCTTCTTTCGCAAAGACTTTATCAATGGGAAGCAAAAACACCATAATTGATTTTACTACATTATCATGACGATTTTACCAAAAATCTACATCAGGTCTTTCATGAGACAGTCCTCATGATCTTAAACTCTTAATAAACTACTCAAACATAGTGTTCAACAAAACAACAACAATATAATTTGCATCCATTATAGTAGAAGTAATAATAATAATAATAATAATAATAATAATAATAATAATAATAATAATAATAATAATAATAATAATAAATAAATAAATAAATAAATAAAAAGAAGAAGAAGAAATAAATAAAAAACCTGAATGAAGGTGGAAAATGAAATTTGATTAAGATGCTGCATTGTAGAGTTTTAGTATAACAATACAACAAAAAGCTATTGGAAATGGAAAGTATAGAAAAATAGAATGCAATAAAACTGAAATCTAAGTGGTGTTCCCTTGTTTTTCCTTCTCCCAGCTATATAAAGCCAATTACTTATGATAAATGGAATACAATTTGTGCAATCAGATCCCATTAAGTTTCACAAGTGATACAAATAGTAGGAATGATAAAAAAATGAAGAAAAATGTCCACTGAAAAGGAATTTGAAGCAGCCATTATGGCAGCTACGACCAAACCGTAACAAGCCCCTGGAATTTGTATAGGGAGGCTCTAGAGGCCACTACGGCCAATAGCAGTCGCTACAGCCGGACCATAGTGAACCTTTGAATTTTGCAGGGAGGATGTCGCAAACTTCAATCTTTTGTGCCTTTCACTCCTCTTGAATCATCTTTTGTCTGAGACAATCCTTTTAGCCTGAAAATGGAGAAAACACACAAACACACATAAAAGTGGAAAAAAATAAGGTTTAAAGCAACAATAATTAAACATAAAATTACTTTAAAATAGTCTAAATAACCACTTATCTTACGTTAATTATCTCACACCTTTCTTGATTTAGTAATATTGTAAATATTTATTAAGTTTACTGGTCTAGTAATTATTGGTGGAGAATAATAATTTTTGGAAAAATTATGATTATTATTGAGATATTAATTTTATATTTTTATTTAAAATAAAAAAAATTACTAAAATCGCATTAATAAGTTGAGTCAAGGAGTCTGCGGATTGCAAAACTCAAACTCGATCCTAACCTATTCAAATTGTTATGGATTATGTTGGATATACCCATTAATAAATAAGTTCGAATAATTTATAAGTTAATTTAATTTGAGTAAAAAAATTCATAGATCGACCACCCATGAACACCTTTAATTCCGGTAGATTTAGACTCCATTTAATTTTAACTAATACAAATAATAGAATTTTATTCTATCTATGTCATACCATTCTTTCATCATTTTAACATATATAAACATAAAACTTTATTTTGGTAGAATCTACTTCTTTTATTAATTTTATCTTTATTTATTCATTAACTTTTTTGAAAGGAGACTCTAGACGCCAGTATTTTGTAAATTCAAAAAAAAAATTTCTAAAATTTTAGAAGCTCCAAAAAAATGAAAAGACAATTCTTTTTTGTTGAAAAGTAAATAAAAAAGAAAGTCAATAAGGAAGAAACGAGGAAGAACCAAATCAGAACATCGATAAGAGAACGCCGATCAACCACCATTTCTCGCCGCCGAAGTCGAACACAGACGCCAGGTGCCTACATAACAATTTCTCCTCAATTTCTTCCGTTTCTGAATCTCTTAGCATCGCCAAGTAAGTTCCGTGATTTTGCTTCATTCATTCAATCACTATTTTCCCTCATCGTTCACGCGTTTTTCAGATTCTGATTCAAAATTGAAAATCAATTCGCCGATTCTACGTGTTGTTTTGAATGTTAATGTTTGATTTTTCTTTACCCTGCAGGATTTACATTATTCACTATTTCAGAAATTCCTGAAATTTAATTTTACCAGAGGGAATGCACATGCATGAGTGATTTTGATTTTGAAAGCTTCATTGCTCATTTGAGTGATATATTCGGATAATGATGACCTCATCAGTTCTCAATTTCGTGAACACTACATTAGATTGGGTGACATATGCTTTAGATGCTCCTTCTACACGAGCAGTAGTTTTTGGATTCAATATCGGTGGTAATTTTCGGCGTTGTGTATGGAAATTTCTTTTATTTCTTTTATTTTATGGACGATTATGAATGCAAGCAATACTAATTTGTTAATTTTCTTCGTTTTTACCTTATGTTTGAAGGCCATTTATTTATCGAAGTATTTCTCTTGGTGGTTATACTTTTCTTGCTTTCCCAGAAAAGTTACACGCCTCCTAAGAGGCCTCTGACAAACAAGGTCAGTTTCTATTTCTCTCTGTGTTTGTACAAGTTTTTGTTGTTGTATGTATTCAATTTTTTAGTTATTTTAGGAGTGTGTGTTTTTAGCTGTGTGGAGCTGTATAAGGCTAGTCATAGACTTTTATGTGAAAATATAGTTGGAATTTGTTAAATTATTAATGCAATGGGGCTTTAGTTTTTATGATAAAATGACTTCATTTGCCTAATTTGTGGGTTGAGCTAGTATGGGTAATAAGTATGTTTAGTAGAAAAGTGGTTTTCCATTAATGTTTAGATTTTAGAATCTATCCAAACAATTAATGGCATGTTTGGAACTGCGTTTGTGTTGGTATTCTCGTGTCCTATTGCATTGTAAATGTGAAAACAAAGAAGCTACTATATGTAGCTTTCACGGAAACACGATATCTAACGTAAAACAAAGAAGCTACTATATGTACCTTTCACGGCAACATGGATATCTAACGTAATTCTACAAAATGCAACGCAGTACCAAACAAATACTAAGTGTACGTTTGGTTTTGCATTAATTGAACTTGCGTTAGCTAAAATCACGTCACTTTTCCACATATGCACAAAAGCTCTAGTTTGTAGCTTACATAAAATCATGTAAAAATCATAAGTGGGACGTATGTTTGAGTGGCCAAACGCCAAACCAAACACATGCTAAATCTGTAAAGCATGTGCATTTGTCTATTGTGGTTCTTATTAGTTCTATGGATCTTACATGCGGTGCCTCTTGTTATTCTTAATGATGTTTTAGAACTTACAAGATAAATTGATTTTATATTTCTTATGCTGGATTTTTTGTTCTTTCTTTCATCTACTTTTTTTTACAAAAGTTAAAGTTACTGTGTGGAATCTCTGACCATGTCGTTCCATGTTGGTTCCTTTACAATCTGTTATTCGAATTATCATGTTGTATTTTGACATTTTTGAAATTCTGCTTTAATGTCCGTAGGAAATTGATGAACTATGTGATGAGTGGGTTCCACAACCCCTTATTCCTTCTCTTAATGAAGAGTTGCACTATGAACCACCAGTGCTGGAGAGGTAATTACATTTTCCCTACTGCTATCACCCTTGAAATTCTTAAACTTATTTTCATTTTAATAAAAAAAACTAGTATAAATTAAAAGTTATCCAATGCAATTTCATAGGTTTTTAGATGCCCTCTTCTCGTTTTCCATGTCACACATTTTCCTAACCGTTAACTTTTAACATATACTGTGGAGCTGTACGTTTTATTTGAGTTAAAATAAGGAAGGTTCGTGTTATATTTTAAAAATAGAGAGAGATGTGTAGTGTGTTCTAAAGAAGTATTATTGGTCAATGAAGTTTCTGTTTACTCCTAATAACGAGGTATTTCTTATGCAGTGCTGCTGGGCCACATACCATAGTCAATGGTAAAGACGTTGTAAATTTTGCCTCAGCAAACTATCTTGGGCTTATAGGTCATCAAAAGTTACTTGTAAGGAAATGTTCCATAGAAGTAAATTATTTCTTTTTCTTTTGGCACTGATCTGATTCATTGACTCTATGTTTACTTTATCTGCAGGACTCATGTTCATCTGCTTTAGAGAAATATGGCGTTGGTTCTTGTGGTCCCCGTGGGTTTTATGGAACAATTGGTAAGGTTCAATGTTAAAGTTTGTTTTTGAGGAAATGCATCCTCCCTTTCCCTTATGATACTTTTCCTTTGTCCAGATGTCCATCTTGATTGTGAAGCGAGAATAGCGAAATTTTTAGGAACACCTGATTCAATTCTGTACTCTTATGGACTTTCGACCATGTTCAGTGCTATTCCCGCATTCTCTAAAAAAGGAGATATAATTGTGGCGTAAGTAGCATAGCTTGTCTTTTAATATCTGCTATGCAATCTTGTTCAATTTTTCCTCACCTTTTTTGTCCGATGACATTGTATTGGCCAATGGGCATTGATAGCCAGATACCACATATAGAACTATTTGGATGGTTTTATAATATTGCTTTTACTTCTTTATTGAATAAACCATCAGTTTAGTTCCTAAACTATACCTCTATTCAATTTAGTCCCTAAACTATAACTCTATTCAATTTAGTCTTTAAACTAAAATATAATTAGTCCCTAAATAATATGAAATCCATCAATTTATCCCCTACCATCCGAATAGCAGAGACTAAATTGACGGGCTTTATATACTTTAGGGACTACTTATTATAATTATATAGTTTAGGGACTAAATTGTAAAGAAAGTAATAGTTTAGAGACTAAATTGATGATTTATCCCTTCTTTATTAGAATGATGCAAATAATGATCCAATATCTTCTCCATCCACTTTATTTTTATAAATGTATTAAAATATTGTCACTTAGCACCTGTTGATCAACGGAGGCGTTGTTTATATAAGCCTGTTGTTTCAAAGGTTCAAGCTTCATACATAAGTTTATTCCTTTTAACAGAGACGAGGGAGTCCACTGGGGAATACAAAATGGTCTTTATCTTTCGAGAAGCACAGTCGTATATTTTAAGCACAATGACATGGATTCTTTAAGTAAAACTTTAGAGAACATTACTTCCAAATATAAGGGGACAAAAAATTTGAGGCGATATATTGTCATTGAAGCTCTCTACCAGGTAGATCTCGTTTTTTATTTATGTTTTTTTGTTAGCTTCACATATCTATACCATGTTTCCAATGGAATGCTTACAACCTTTAGGTTTAAAAGCAATCAGCTTTACTAATTGCTTGCTTCTTCTTGCAACTTGCAGTATCGGTAAATTGTGCTATATGAACTACTATTCTACTAAGATAGTACAGTATTTAACAAATGAAATTTGAAAATGTATATATATGAAGGATTGAAATAAAACTTTGAGCCTGTTGGTGTATACTACAATGTTGTTCCTTAAAAGACTATTTTTACTTACCCTTGTTTTCTCAACCATTGAGTTGTAATAGTTATTTTTTCTGTTGACATACTAACACCTTTTATGATCATATGCCTTACTTGCAAGCAAAACTAACATTGCTTGTCAGCAACTATTGACATATGTTTCTTTGAATTTTTTCAGAATTCTGGCCAAATAGCACCCTTAGATGAGATCATTAAATTGAAGGAAAAATATCGTTTTCGTATTTTATTGGATGAGAGCAACTCGTTTGGTGTACTTGGAAGTTCTGGAAGAGGTCTCACCGAACACTATGGAGTGCCAGTATGTACTGAAGAATTCTGTTTGGGCGTGGGTATATATATTCAAAACTGTAATGCTATTTATGATTTTTGGTTGTGTGCTGCAGGTTGAGAAATTAGATCTTATAACTGCTGCTATGGGACATGCATTGGCCACAGAAGGAGGATTCTGCACCGGAAGTGCAAGAGTTATAGATCACCAAGTATGGTAGTTATCTATGATACTGAATCATAACCATCTTGGATTTCCATGTATACTGAACATAAGTATGGTAGTATTCTAAATGTGCAAATTAAGAATGTATTTCCTCTAGACTCAAACTTAAGTAATAAAGACGAAGATGCTTATACTATGGACTACCAAACATGACTCAAACTTAAGTAATAAAGACGAAGATGCTTATACTATGGACTACCAAACATGACTCAAACTTAAGTAATTATAAGTTGCTTATACTATGGACTACCAAACATGACTCAAACTTAAGTAATAAAGACGAAGATGTTGAGTCATGTTTGGTAGTCCATAGTATAAGCAACTTATAATTAATGTACTATACTTAATGCTAGTAATAGTATTCAACTAATCGTAGCATTGATGAAGATGTTGAGTTGGATGTGTGACAAAACTAGACGGGATAGAATTATAAATGATAACATTAGAGTCTCGACTTAGGTGGTTTGGGCAGGTATACTGAAGACCTGGAGATTTTGTAGGAACCTAGAACAGATGGGCAATAGTCAGAAATCACCAGTGACGTATGAAGACTTAGAAATACGTTAAGATAAACTATTAAGAAAACTGGAGATTAATGAGTTGGATAGAAACATAATGTATGATAGAACATTATGGCGTTGTCAAATATTTGTAGCCGACCCTACTTAATGATATAAGGCTAGGTCGTTGTTGTTGTTGATTCAATTAACGTTCTCGTGAAACAAATACAGCTCAATTAATGCTCTCATGAAACAAGTTTCAAAGGAAGTTAAACAAAGAAATCATAGTTTGAAGAATGCAATTTTTTTATGATGAACACTCCGGTACCTTTTAAATTTGGTTGGGTATGTATGTACTTATGACCCAATCATCCAATGTCATCACATTTTTATAATAATACTTTTAAAAAGTAAATAAAATTTGAATAGATTGTGTCTAAAGGTACTAGTATCCTACCAAAACTCATGGGTAACAAAAAATTTACCTTTTATTTATTTGCAGAAAAAGATTAATAAGGTTAATTAATATTGTTAATGTATATGGTTAGTTATTTTTGCATATTTAAGTCTGGAGGGAGCATTTTTCAAGGAACTTTTTTCATTTTTTTTTCAAATTTTCTTCATTAATCCCTGAATTTGCATGATGGAGCAACGTGCATCACTAAGTGATTGGTTGATGATGGCTATTATTTCACATCCATTTTCCTGCTCTAATATCTCTATGTTTCAACAATGACAGCGATTGAGTAGTTCTGGCTATGTCTTTTCTGCTTCTTTGCCTCCATATCTTGCAAGCGCAGCAATTACAGCTATTGATGTCCTTGACGAAAATCCCAATCTGTTAACAAAATTGAAGAACAACATTGGTGTGTTATGGAAAGGTAGACTTTGATCTCAATGCTATTTTTATGAACGGAGCTGGAACTGTATTGCAGTAGTGTCCATGATTTGGCTTGTACACGACAGTTTGAATTACTGTTTATTTATGCCTTTGCCTGCAAATAAAACAAATTTTTATAAATTAAGAACTTTGATTCTTAGATACATTGATTGGCTACTGCAGGGTTGTCGAAAATACCAAGCTTCACAATTGCTAGTCATCCAGAGTCACCAATTATTTATTTGAGATTAAAGAAGTCAACAGGTTCTTTGAAAGATGACCTACATCTGCTTGAAAATATCGCCGAGCGTGTAAGAAACGCAGTTCTTTTTGGATTGAACAATCTTCATTATTTTCAATTTTGTTGGTACTTAATATCATGTATCACAGGTTTTGAAAGAAGATTCTGTATTTGTGGCGGCTTCAAGAAGATCAACACTTGACAAGTGTAAATTGCCTGTAGGAATTAGATTGTTTGTCTCTGCAGGGCATGAGGAGTCTGATCTTCACAAAGCATCTGAATCATTGGAAAGGGTTGCTGCATTAGTCCTCGGTGATCGTAGTTGAATGCCGTACTGTACACCTATCTCCTTTTCTTTTCATGTTCTAAAATGTCAGTTCTATTCAACTCTTAGCTGAGAAATTTTGAAATCCAGGCAGATACAGGAAGTTCTGTAGTTGGTAATTTATGTAATATTTTTCGGGCTAGCTTAGGGTAACGATTTTTTCAGGCGTGCTATTCTTTGATATGTGTTAGAGTGGTGGAATAAGGATTTAAGTTTCTAATCATCATTTGGGAAATGCTTATAAATTACATTAGGCTTAATTTTCTTTTTCCCGTTGAATCCTTGTATATCAATTTCAATATTACATTATTATTTCATTAGTTAGTTGTTCATCAAGATTGCTGAAGGTTTAAGCCATTGTGTGCATACCTAGTCAACGTTTCCCTAATATGCAAGTCAAATTCCCTTTTTTTTTTTACTTAATTGTATTTTTCGTCTGCTATTTTATCACATTGACATAAATGATCCCTTCATCTTGAAATTGAATATTTTGATTCCTCAATTATCACATTTGTTGCAATTTTGGCCCAGCCAATACTTTTAACCCCTAAAATGGTGATTTTTGATGCAAAACTTGTAGTTTAGTGTCTCAATCAATTGTAAGTTTGAAGGGAAGAAGATACCACTCAGTGCATAATAAATCATCATTTTTATGCTTTAAAAAAATACTATTTATGGAGGAAAATTATGGGTTAGGACCAAAATTGCAATAAATGTGATAATTGAGAGACGAAGTTGGATTACAAAATAGGAAGACTATTTTCTTGTGTATGATGTAATAGGGTTTGGTTGAACCTAAATGTTTGATTTAGTTTTTAAAGAGGCAAAATTAATTATAGAATTATAGAATTGATTTTTGAATGATTTTGAGATGTTTGATTTTTTAAGGTAGAATTGATTATGACTCTAAAATTGATTTTATTTGAAGCTATAATTTGTAATTTTTTAAATTTAAACGGAATTTTTACAATGGAATTTATTGTTTAACTCTTTTTTATATAAATGTATTTAAATATAAACCATTTACATCTAATCCACTTTTAATCAAAATTAATTCTCGATATCATAACAAACACACTAAACTTAAACCAAAAACACACTAAACTTAAACCAAAAATCACTCTATAGCACATTCTGAATGACAAAATCACGCTTTAGCACATTCTGAATGACAGCCAAAATGATGTCAACACATTATGGCCACTGACAATCACATGCCCATAACGAGAGCAATAGTGTAGTAGAGAAAGCAAGAACAAATGAGAGAATGACAGGGAAAGGATTAACTAAATAAATACATTAAGTTAATTTGGAAACTAAACATATATATATTTTTTTTCATAACTTAACATGTTAATTCATTTCAATGTGAGCATTAGATTGTTTCAAATTTTGGCTTGGTATTAGACCTTATTTTTCTTTTCTATATCACTTATCTGAGGAGGATTCACTTGTTTAGTGCTGCAGTGTGTTTCCTAGAAAATCATACTTAATGAAGCTCACGATGATTGTGTGATTTTATTTTATTATTTTTTATATAATAAAATGCAACGCATGAAACATTGTCCTTCACATTTGGAGTTTGTTGAAAGTGCATAATTTAATAATAATAAAATGCAACACATAACACCTCTCTCTCTTGCAATTGGAGTTTGTTGAAAGCTGCATTGAAACCAATGTAGGTGTATATAGAATATTAAAATTGTTTGTTAGTTAGGATTATGAAGATTATTTTAATTAGATGCATGAACCTTTAAAATGAGAATAACTGATTAAAATTATTGCTTGTATACAGGCACACACATCAAGCCACCGACTGCTTTAGTTTTGGTGAAATGCATACATCAAATAAATCAATAATTATTTTTTAATCTCATGAATTTTGGTATTAGTATAGTATTTATTCTTCAAGTAAGGATAAAGTTGAAAAAATTACATTAATTAAATAACAAAGTTCTAAACATAGACCAAAACATTAGACATACACTAAGACATTATTAGAGACGTTGTTTAATAATGACAGTGACTAATGCATTAGTCTTATAGCAATAATGATTCATTTTCCTCTTTATTTTTCAATTCTTAATTCCACTTTACCTTATCCATTTTTTTTTATCAAGCAAAGTAAGTGTGTACTTGTTTTGGAGTCTGCACATGATAAACTCTCAACCTATTGAAACATTGACACAGACACCAACACCAGACACCGATACAACATCTGAAAACGTGTCGGACACCAAAAATAACATAACTAGATTTGGTTTATACATGCTTTTTGCTGTAACCTATCACAAGGACACTGAGTATGGTGATTTTTCTGAACCATCCAACACAATTTCAAACAAATCAGCTTCAGATTCCTCATCAAAATCAAATGCTACATTATTATTATTCCCACCGTTGTTATTTCCTTTCGCCGCGGATCGATTCTGCCACGGCGAATCAATCCTTCCCATGGAGAATAGTTCCTTACTGTCATCAAATCCAAGCGTAGCACCAGGGGAATGTACAAGTGGTGCTATAAAACACGGATTCGGCGTTCTTTGCGCATTTGCAGGCGCGTATTTGAATGCCACTTGTCCCAAATTAACCAAAACCATAATGTCTATATTTGCCGCAATTGTTGGACAGAGTGGTGTGCTGAATTCCTCTGATTGACAGTGAATTACATGAACCAATTCTGAGTTTAATGTGAAGAAAACTTTCTTTTTTCTTGGATCAAATCCACAACCAATTACTGTGTCAGTTCCTATCCATTGCTCTTTGTCTGACTCAAACACAAGTTTCATTCCTGTCACCAAATTTTATAGTTAGATGTCTAGAAAGAAACAGAAATTGAAACAAGATTAGTAGAAGTGTGAATGAATATAAAAATCTAAGACAATAAATGTAGCACATTGTAGTTAATACGTAACACTACACTTTATCTGTGTCTGGTGTCTAAAATCTGTCTTACAGAAACAAAAAATTTCAGTTTTTTTAATATTATTATCAACATCGACGTTTCAATATTGATGCCGTGTCAATATTTGTGTCACTCTTCTTGTAAACTAACTCAAACATGTAAACATTACATGTGGGCCTTTCACATTGTTGTTGTTTTAGGTTAGAATACAAATTTGTCTTTAATTAGGTTATCTTATGTTGTTCCCTTTCTATCACATCAACAAAAAGCTCAAACAACCTTTTTGTTGTTTAGCAAACTTAAAGTTCTTAGGTTATATGACTTTTGACTCTTGAGATTCATTTAAGAGGGTCACACCTCTTGATCAGATTATTTCAAAAACTCGATTATTTGTCATTGTATTATATCATATTGACAACTAAAATATCAAACAAATATTTTTAAATGAAAGCGTATTTGATGTCTAACACATATATCAGATACATGCAATTATATTTAATTTATTCGTTTTTTAAAATTATCTGTATAGATATGTGAATGTCTCTGTGTTGTGTGCGTGTTAGACTATAATATTGACCATCAAGAAAATGAAAATGGAAAAGGGAAAAGGTAAAGGGTAGATAATTGATTATTACCATCAAGAAAAACAGAACCATTGGAGTTGAACCCTATGCTTCTAGGGTAACTTCCTGGAACTCTTAAAGGAACACTTCCACCAGAGCTTAACCCTAATGACACCATCACAGATCCATCTTTTCCTTCATCTTTCATTTCTTCAACACTTTTCAAATCACCTTCATCATCCAAACCATCTTCAATAAGCAACTTTGTCTTCTCCCCTTCTCTTCTCCCAACAACTTCACAATCATCTCCACCACAAGAATACAATATAGTAATCTCAAAATAAGCCTCTTGTGGAAAAACATGGTTCCCTAAACTAGGACCAGGAAGAGGCAAACAAGTCCTAACAACAGAATGAACGTTCATCAAAGCATTGTTTGGATGAAAAAAACACTTTTTCAAACCAGAATTAAGTCTTATCTTCTGCATGAATTCATTTGAACCTTGACACACTTCCCAACTTACCTCAACCTCATTTTCTCCTTCTCTTCCATACTCACCACCACCTCCACAAGCTCCTAAAAGGGTTGGTTTTTTTGATGAAATATAATCACTTTTATAGCTTGTGAAAGCAAATCTTGACCATCCATTTTCAACAGCATCAGAAGCTAGATATGGATGATCAACCCAATTAAACAAATCTTTTCTTCCTTTTTTCTTCCTTCTTTGATCAAATTGATTGCTTCCTTCATGATGAGTCTCTCTTTTGTTCAAACTATTTGATCCAATGAAGTTCTTTTGGTCTTTCTTGTGATGACATAACCTCCAAACGGAAATGAGTAAAATGGTTGAAACACATCCAGTTAAAGCTGCCACTATAGCAACATGGATATGCATCAAATGATTCATCAATTCAGATTCTTTTGCTCTTTTTTGCTTCAATTTGTTATGCATATAAATGAAGAAAAATAGTGAGACATGAAGGTTGAGTTTTTCATATTTTTTTTGGACAGTTTCTTTTGGTTTTAGAGTTTATGGGAACCCACAAACATACATTAAAAACCAATAAATTTGTTTGCTGTTATAAGACATCTTTTTGGGCATGTTACTGCTCTTATTATTATTTTTTTCCACGTCAGCGTTTCTATGCTCAAATCCTAAAATGAATCATATTGAATTCATAATGACATATTGTACACACTAAATTTTTGAATGGACTCCTAGTATTCAATTATTTGCAAAAGAACTTTGAGTTTACAGAGTTTCTTTATCAATAATTAAATTAGTGCATGCACCAAATATCATGACTCAATGTTCAATGTTTTAATCACCAATACTAGTAGGTTGGTGAGGAAAAAAGCATTTGCACATTAAGATTTTGTCTTATTTTGTAGAATCATGGGTGATGAGTCTGTCTATATGTCAATTTTTGTGTGTATAGAGACACTTAAATATGACAACTATTGAGTGCAAATTGCCTCATATAAAAAATAAGTGGGGTAGAAAACCAAATAAAATAACCTAAAAAAACTAGATGTCCACTATGTGATATGCATCGATAAATTTTATTGAATTATTAATGACAAATACTGTAGTTGGTTGTATTGGTTGTGTTATTTATTAAAAAAATTAATAAAAATGTAATAATTTGTATCTTGTAATGTCTTCTATTTACTTTTTATTACTTGATTTCAAAATTCAATGTTCAATTCATAAATGTCAAGAAGTGAAACATGAGTTTCATATATGAAAAAGAGGGTTAGAAAGAGTGTTAAAAAAAGTCTTCCTAACACTTCTATGTCTAAAATAATATATAATATATAAGAAAATATAAAAAAATATTAACTTAATACTCAAAAGAAATTAAAACATACGGTAATAAATTAAAATGTTCATAAATATATTGTTTTAATCATAATCTATACACAATCATTATATATGAATCTTACTTTTCTATATACTATATTAATTAATGTATTGTTTTAATCATAATTTATAATATAACATTGTAAATCGATTATTTATAGTGTATGAAATTAATATACAAAATAACTATTAGAAATGCTTTAATGATGAAAAAAAGAATATTTTTTTTAATGTATAAATGAAGTGTCATTATTTTGAGTAGACCGGTCATAGCTAACATTTACTAATTTATATAAACTTAAATATTTTTCTAATTCTCAAAAAATTTTATCAAATAATTTAATGGTTAAAATTTAAGATAAATAAGTGAGAAATTGTAAGTTCAAATTCACTCCTCATAAACAACTATAAACTGAATTTATTTAACTAATAAGATTTTAATATCATTCATCTTAATTTTTAATTCAAAACGTATATAATGCATAAAGCCAATCAACCCTATAATTAATGATCATTCTCTGACCTATTAATTTGATGATGATACATAATTGAATTACTTTTTCATATTGACGCAGATAAGAAAAAGTGGACTTTTACTTTTTTTAAATATATAAATTATAAAACTATGGCTTTATAGTGTTATTATATTTTGTAAGATGATTATGTTAATTGCTTGGTCAATAAGAAATTTTTCCTGGATTTCTTTAATTCAAGATAAGTTAAAGATTAATATTTTTTTCTTCTAAGTGGACCATATGATGATATGTGATATAGATAATTTTCTTAAAGACACAGGTTAAGAATTAAATGTAAAAATATTTTTTTTTTAAATTGTGTATTAATTTTATTAAAAATTTATAATTAATTATTTTATTATTTTTTTCAATATAATTTTTTTATTTATAAATTTTTTAACTTGTATCCCTAAAACACAAGTTAACACATTCCTCTCATTTTAATTAAACTGAATCTTCTTAAAAACATAATCATAATAATTATTTACTTTTTGTTGTGTGTGCAGAAATCAAGACCAACAAGTGCTATTTGGTGGAGGTCAAAGCATATACTAATCTTGAGAAGCTTAAACAAGCTTCTTTCTAGTCTAGCTCATCTTAACTTTTATTCAAAATGTACATAAGGCATAAAGCCAATAAATCAACCAAATAATTAATGATCATTCTTTGACCGGTTAATCTCATGATGATGATGATATAATGTATATTAAATTCTAGATCAATGATTTACACTTGTTTATACACGTTATTATATTTCTTAAAATGGTGATATTGCTTGATTGCTTGGTAAATAAGAAATTCTTGCTGGCTTTTCTTTAATTCAAGGATAAGTTAAAGATTGATACATTTTTCTTCTAAGTTCTAAGTGGAACCGATTGTTATGTTGTATGATATTGATAATTTTGAATTGAAGTCTTCTTAAATAATAATTATTATTACCACATCACTATAATAAACTAATGAAGCTTTTGTCTAAAAAATATAAAAAATATTTTATAGATATTATTTTTTTTACACAAACAAATTTAATACATTTCATTTAATAGATGCTGCTCAATATAAGGAAGAATACAATTAAATAAATTACATCTAATTTAAGAATTGACCATTGTATGTTATGAGTAATTGTATATTGTTTTTCAAGAGAGACCTAAGGAGTCATTGAATAAGAAAGTCAAAGTGGCACCAAGTAAGATATCAAGCAAAACATCTAATAAGGCACCAAGCAAGGCATCTAACAAGGCACCAAGCAAGCCACCAAGTAAGGCACAAAGTCAGGCACCAAGTAAGGCTCAGGCTGCTCAACCTCAAGTCACATATCAGATAAATGAGGCACCAAGTCAGGCTTCCGTGCAAAGTTCTCATATTGCTCAACCACCAACAAATCCAGATATTGCACCACCACCAAATTCTCATGCTGATACTACACCACCACCAACAGATGCTTAGGCTGCACAACTCATAGATTCTGATACTGCACCACCACAAAGTACAGATAGAAGAGAATACCTCAATGAAATAGATCCAGATGTTCTAGAAGCAATTCTCAATGATATCAACAATGGAATGGACATTGTTCTAGACATTCTACCTCTTAAAGTTGACTTAAGCCCTATCAAACAGGCTCCTGTAAACACATGTTCTTCAATGTCTGGTGGTGTGAAGATCTTCTTTGGGAGTGCATCAAAAGTCAAACCCTTCAAAGCACTCAAACATCCAGGAAAGGTCAAGGCAACCTTCACTGATCATGTAAGTTAGATTATAGTTGTTAATAATAATTGTTTTTTTATGTCATTTAAGTTTATTTATGGCTGTTTTTTAGGTCAAGTCTATGATGCCAAAGAAGAAAAAAGTCCCAGGAGCTCTGAGTCAAACCAGAAAGAGTGAAAGACTCAAAACTATAACAACAAAAGACATCAAGGAGCCTGGAAAACACCCTGAAGATCCAATTGTGCTCCCTGAAGATGATGTATCAAAATAACCTAAACAAAAGGGTAGAAAAAGTTGGGAAGAAATTCAAAAAGGCTTGAATCAATGAGGATGGAATTTGAAGAAGTTGACTAATCTCTTTTTTTGTTACTATGTTACCACAATTGTGTTTTGTAGACTTTGATTAACTATGATTTTTTGCTATAATGTAACCTATGAGCATTTGTACTCGATATACATTGACTTGTAATTTTGGTCATCCTACAACCATAGGCCATGTATTGGATCAAACTAAGTCCATGTATTGACTTTGAATTCCTATGTTTTTAATGAATTTATTTCATGTTAATTTGTTTGTCAAATTATGATGCCAAAAGTGAGGCAAAGTCTTAGAGGACATAATGCAAAAAATGAGGCAAAATTTAAGGGGACATCATGCCAAAATTGAGGTAAAATTTAAGGGAACATCATGCCAAAATTGAGGCAATATTAAATGAGACATCATACCAAATTTTAGATGTTATAATACCAAAATTTAGAATACACTTTGACAGAATTTACAAGTCAATTAGAAGACACAATGCCAAATTTTAGAAGTTATAATGCAAACACAAATCCATAAAAACACATAGAAACACAGTGATCAAACACAATTCTATTACATTGAACATCCACAATTCCATTACATTGATCATCCCAAATTCCATTACAAACATAATGTAACACTGTCATTACTTCTCCTTACTGTCATTACATTTATCAAGCAACCTAATTTCAACAATTACATTTCATAAATTGATACACATTATTCATAACAGAAACTACAAAGCATATCAGCTTGATTTTTCCAGCCCATGCCTCTGATCTCAATTTCACTTGCATCTTCATGTTCTTCTTCTTCGAACCTTCGTACAACTCTCTCAACAACTCAACCGTCTCCAATTCCTTCACCCTTTATTTTTCTACCTATTCAAAACCATTAACATCTTCTTCGACCAGATCTTCATCCCATACAAAAAGATCACAAGTTTCTTCACCGTGCCAAAAGGACATCTTTAGAAAAGCCTGCCTTTATTGCGACCATTCTTGCACACATATGAAACCATCCGAGCATCACAACCATAAATCCTTCCTCGACGGCAGCTTCACACAAATGACGAAGACATGCTAATGGGTTTCTTATGACTTGTCCTTGAATACGACATCAAAGAAGTTGAAAGAGAGCGAAGACAAATGGAAGTTGAAGAAATTGAAAGAAAGAAGACCAAGAGAAGAATCTGAAGATGAAATGAGACGAAAGAGAACGAACGAATGTGAGTTAATGAAATTAGGTTAAACATTCACCATTTAGGCTGACGTGTAAGCTGAGGTGTAGCTTCCTTACACACGTGGTAATTCAAACATGTCCAAATAATTAAAAAAGAAAGCCAAATCAGTGTTCACGTAGGATGCCGTTAAATGAAATAGACGGCAGAGACGAAAATCAGGGACATAAATCTTTAGGAGGACGATTCTTTGAAAGAAATTGTTAGGGGGACTAAAATTGGATTTTGGGTTATTTATAGGGACCTGTAACATATTTAACCCTAAATATTACCTCAAAGTTGGAAATTCAAAATGTAAAACACTCTTAATAGAATAATG